AGGGCTACGAATGTACAAATGTGCTTTACAAAACTGATGTATGTATGGATTGTGATGAGTGTTGTATGTGCCCCAATAAAATGATTTTTAAAAAGAGAAAAGAAAAAGAAATGAGGATTCCATTCAGTGGTGAGACCCAGAGAACTCCTTGCAATTTAAAACTCAGCTAAATCATAGTTTATCTGCAAAAACCTGGTTCCTTCATGATCCACCCTTGACTCACCTAACTCACCTGCAGGCCCTCTCTCAGTGGTCACTCCTCTCTCAATGCTGGCCACCTGGCCTCCCTGCCATTCCTCCATCACAAAACACCTGCCCCTACCTCAGGGCTATTGCACGTGCTACTCTGGCCCTTTGGAATAGTCTCCTCTACCCCACTCCCCACAACAGCTACATTGTTTTTTCTATAGTACTAACCCCATTCATTATCCTCCTCCCTTGTCTAGAATTCAAGCTCCATGAGAACAGGACTTTGTATCACTCACTATTGTACCTTCAGCACTAAGAGTTTATTGGCTGAAGAAATCAAACACTTGAACCCCAACAATATCGATAAAGATTGGGGTCTCCTGAATCGTTTTGCCATACCGTGGGCCTTAAACTCGGCTCCAGTTTCCCAAAGCTCAATCAGCGCTGTCTTCAGCTCACCCTCAACGACAATTAGCTCCAAAGCACAGAAGCAGGAGGAAACGGACATAGTATGTCCTGGAAGCCACTGGCTTCAAGCTTTTGTCACATCGATCAAAAGAACCGTGCAAGAACTTGAAAGTGCAAAAGTGAATTTTAAAACTCCCATGCACGATCAAATCACTGCAAGCCAGCGAGTGCAATGCACTTTATTCTAAAATGATCAAACCAAGCATAAACAAGATAGGATGCTGGCCTTGAGTTGACTCCTTAATTAGATGGATCCAAGGACAGCTCGACCTACAAACCTCACTTCAGGCCTGCTTTTATTTTACTTGACTTTTTCAGTTGTTCCTAATTGGAGTTTGTTGTTTCATTTGGGTTTGGTTAAAGAACTGCTTGTAAAGAAATCAGATCACTTTCATGAGAACCTTTCAAATGTGCTTAAAAAAAAAAAA